TAAAATGACCAACTTTCACTGGGTTTAAATTTCGCTGATTTACCATTTCAGACATATTCAGTTGGTTTTAAATTCACGGTTTTATCATTTAGATAATGAGTTCTATGCTAAATTTTACATATTCACTGGGTTTTAATTTAGCGCATTTTCCAGTCAGCGAAATAAGCAAAATTAAAACCCAGTCAATAATTAACCCTTTTACAGTATTAGAATGTCCTTTTCTGAATGTGCTCATCTTGGCTAGATATTGTAAATAAAGTTATCGTTCTTTCTACCGGCAGTAGTTCATCTACTTGTTCCAGCTCTAGGATAGCGTCTCTTTGTCACTTTATATCGGCTTATGAAATGTACAAATAAACAGAGATCAGTGCGTGTCAGTCAATGCGTGCCAAACATTGATTTTCTCGATTTAAAATTTGTCGCTATTTGCAAAACGTGCGATGGGATAACCTATTAAGCTGGCTGGTTAGTTCAATACATTTCTGTACATTATGCGAATTCGTGGGCATTCACAGCCTTGAGAGAAAATATCACATTCACGCTATTAAAATTTCGTAGCACTGTCACAAGTGGAACGTCCTAAAAAAGAAAAAAAAAATGCATTTTTTTAACGCTTTGTATCAAACATGGTGTTAATTACGCCTACTCTATAAAAAATGTAAACTTCAAATTCAATGGAAACAAACTCATAGGTTCAAGATTGAGATCATCCCACTAATTAAATAACCAACCAACACATCACGTGTGCCTTATCTTAAAATGCAGACGTTTTTTGTAACTAACTGTCTTCAAAATTATATATTCAATCAGCCAATTTTAACACACTTTGAACTTTCGGAAATGAAATGGATTTTACATTTTAGTTTTTTTTTTCAATATGTGCCACATGTGGCAGAGCTCCGTGTGTCCCAGACCTGCATATATACCTCAATGCACAATGCTAGTGAATGGCATGATGATGTGATATGACTGTTACGTGGTCTTTCATTGTTGTGTACAGTATCAATCCAAGTTCAGCAGCGCCCTCACGATACTCCATGCCTTCAGTTGCATCATAGTATCCTCGGAGGCGGACATCCGGGCATTTTAACCGCCTGGCAACCCTCGCGGTAAAAACAAAGGCACAAAACTCGCAGAAAACGGTACTTTGGGATGGTTGTTGAGACTCCCCTGAACAGTGTAACAAGATTAGCCCTACGTGTGTAACATATATAAATTTGGTTGTTCAGGATTACTTCAAAGTTGAGTTTGTGTTGTTTCCTCGAATTTTCACCGGCGTTCCATAGCAGCGCGCACAGAGCCCGTAGAAATGCATGTACAGTGATGCGCGTCTTAGCAACGTGGAACGTCTTTTGACGTAACTCCGCCCCCGAGGATTGAGCAATAATATTGGGATGAGATGTCTATCGGAGCAGGATCAATTCCGACGAGACGTATAAACTGTCTAGGAAGTCTGGCGTCATCGCACTACATGGAACATGCAATTCACAAAATGTGAAGTTAAATTTATTGAACTCAAATACAGGACGGGTTAACCCAAAGCAAATCCCAATACTACGAATATATGAAAAGTAGAAAGACCATACCTAAACGATATCAAATTAAATTCACAAATCATATGGAATCCCATGACATCATAAATTTTCACCGCAGACCCTGTTATTCCAAACGACCCTGACATGACTGTCCGAGATCTTTAGAAAAAGGTATTTACTGAAAAATATACATATACGTTTCGGCTATGCGTAAGCCCCTTACTAATTTTAACACATGGTCTTATATAGTGCGACACGAACACGTCTTCGTATAAGTCTTAATCAGGTTAAAAAACAAGGTTATGTAATTGAAACAATATATCACCTTTTCTCGTGGAAGTATCAATAAATTTAACATCCTAAGATTAGTAAGAAGCTAGAAATTTAACTGTAAATCATGTTAACAGCGGTCGTCGCTGCACTGCAATGCTTACGTATAGAACGATTCATATTTTACAGTGAATGTTTTTTCTCCACATGTCGGACAGTCAGTACTATGGTGTGTAGGCATATTCCTGAAAATATATAAGTAGCCGCAGATTAATGTGGCCCTAATAATTACACAGAGTATCACCCACAGTCCATCTGTCACGTGACTGTAATTTGACAATGCCTTTCCCCATATCGTGCGCATGACGTTCCATGTTTCTGGCAAATGTGCCAGTCCAGAGATTTTAAAGTTTCTGAGCAATGTTGAGAGGTGGTAAGGCTGTGGAAGTGCGCCCACACGCGACACAAAATAGATATAAATAAAAGTCAATGCTTTGCAGATAATGCCAATATATTAATATGCAACACTATTAAAATCACGGTGATCACGTGTAATTAAAGTCAATCTTTATACAGTGATTTACGCAGTAATTACTTGTTTTGTTGAACACCATATCAACTGAACGTCAAAAGTTATTATATTTCCCTTTGGTTTTCAAAGTTTCTGTACTTCTATTCTCGAACCATATTTGTAATCTTTCGCATATGTCTGCATTGCTGTAATCAGATTGTTCATTTTCTGCAATCTCTCCGTTTCAAGTTGCACGCCCACGCGACCTATCCCGCTTGCTCACGTAGCGGTATTCACTGTAAATACGAGAACATCTTCTCTATAGGATGTACGGTTTCAGCTTCTCTCAACTTACAAATTGGAGAAGTGCTTCTATTATCGAATGGAGTTGCAGCTAATTTAATTTCACTCGGTCTGTGTGGGTTTAGTATTCTGAAAAGG